CTCTCTCTCTCTCTCTCTCTCTCTCTCTCTCTCTCTCTGTGTTTAGGTGAACTCTCTCTGGAGGAGTTTATGGAGGGCGTTCAGGCAGACGAGGTTCTGTTGAAGATGTTGACTCAGAGTTTGGATCTGACACATATCGTCAAAAAAATCTACAGCGATATTAACTCTGACCAGCAGCGCCACTGATCCCAGACCAGCTGATGATGAAGATGATGAAGATGATGGCTGATGTGCTGGTTCTGGAGAGGGTTGTTTAGCGGCTCGTTTCTCCAGGGCTATTTCTCATCTTAAAAACTGAACTTTACCATCGAGTGAAGAGGTTTAAATCCTCACCGCATCAGATTTGACCAGTATTTACTGTGTTTGACTGTATTACTCTCAGCTGGACTGAATTTCAAAAGCCAGCAGCTGATTTTTCTCCTGTAATCTCACAGAATAATGTTAGCGACTGAAGTTACAGCAAACCCTCTCTAGGTGCACTTATACACTAAAACCTTGAATCAAAATACAACACTCTTCAGTCCTGTGATGTGTGTATATACAAGGGGAATAATTGTGTATTTAAAAATAAATACATGAAGTATTATATTCTGTCGAGAACATTTATACACTTGGATTCCCTTTTGAAAATAAAACATGAAACCTGTGCTTCGTGTGCATAATAATAACTATAAACAACCTCAAAATATGAGACATGATCTATTGAACTGACTGGCAATCAATGCAATTTTGTATTTACGCCCCAAATATTTGTAACAAAATTATAATTTCATATAAAATATGTGTAAAATAAAACTAATAATCAGTTATATGTAAAATAACACTACAATAAGTGTTATTTCAGTAATACTATTACTCATACACTGTTATAGTATTTATTAATGTTTTGAATTAGCTTTTTTTTATTTAAGATTTATTTCAATTACATTTTACAATTTTCATTAATGTTTAGATTTTAATTTTGTCTTGTGCTTTTGTCAATACCTTTCTATTTCTATATAACTATTTACATTTATTTTATTAGTGCTTCAACTTAAACATATTTCGGTAACATTCATTTAGGTTTTAAAATTTTTCATCTAATATTTTTTATTTAAATTACAGGTTAC